TTGAATAAATTATTTGAATGTCTAAACTGATGGTAGTCATATCAGTAATATATTAACATGATGCTGAAAATCCAACATGACTGAAACATTACTTTTACCACCACATGCACTACCTGATTTTTCTGTCCTTCTCTGGAAAGGATTGTGACAGTGACCACTGTGCTCAGGAAAAGACAATCATGTGTACATGATTGTCTTTTCTCAGTTAGTTTGTATATTGTGTTTTGTATATCAGTCTTAGGTAAATGTGGGAGAGGACTAGTCTGGGACTCTTGCTGGACGCGTTGATGAGGATTCCTGACCATGGCATAATCTCCTCACACAGTCCAACACCCTGAGCCTCTATGATCAAGAGGGAGGGTGAGAATTAGTAAGTGTTGTGGGGGTGGGGGGGTCTGTGAAGGTTCTCAGTCATCCAGGTCATCGTAGAAGAAGTCCAGACGTTTTTCTTTCCAAGCTCCTTAGACAATTGGCATTTAATTCTGCAGTGGAAGAAAAAATAGTACATGGAGTTCAGTTGTTGTTTTTTTTACATATAAGAATCTGAAAAATGTTTCTGCATTTGTATTCAGACCACCTGAGTCAATAATTTGTAGGCAGCATTTTGCAAGGTCATTGTCAACATGTTTGCTGTCCCCACTATGTGGCTTGTCAAAAACTGCAAATAGGAAATATGGATTTCATATTACATTTTGATTTGTGTGTTCAGAGTGTGTAGAATATTCAAATTTGCACTCATATAAGCAACGTGTGTGGTGTGCGCACTTGTGTACATGCATGTGCGTCTTAAATGTCCTGCAGTGAGACATCAGCCGTGTTGGTTAAAGCCTTTTTACCAGAAAACAGGAAACTGGGCTACAGACCTGTTAGTTTCTTTTACTGTCAGGCTGAAAAAAAAACCCAGTAAAGCATAAAAAGAACACCCACTGCTAACTGTCATTTAAAAAAGCCAAATACAGGAACAAAGGTGTATAGATTTTTGACAAAATGAATTAAAGCACTTTTTAAGTGTCTCAGTTACAGTTATTATGCTTAGACAAATGAAGAATGATACTTAAAAAAACAGGTGCATCTTTCAATGACCGACAACAGTCATAAACTTAATCAATTTCTCTGCTAGTGGTAAAAATCACTGTAGATGCTGACAACAAGTTTCTTTGTGTCATCACATAAAGGGGCTTTGGCTCTGCACTTTACTATGTTTGCATTAGTAAACAGTGTATTGTAGATTTCTTTCATTGGTTAATCACGGTGATGTGACATCCACCTTCTGATTAAATGAACAGGAACTCTTACTGTGCAACTCAGAAGTGATGCTCAGTGGTCACCTCCACAATGTTATCAAAGTCCTCAGTGTGTCTCTGCTCAGCTTGGGTCGACAGGGATGCTAGCATAGAGAGGAGGTAAGATGAGACTTTTCTAATAGAAACAAAAGAAACTGATGAAAAAATTGTTACCTTTGGCTCTGCGTCGATATAAAGACACCATGAGCAGAGTGGAGATGAAGTATGGACAAATTACCACCAGGTGAGAGACAACGCTGAACACAAGGTTGAGGGAGGTGGGGTCAGGAGGTGGTGCTGAGGATGGGTGTAGGATTGTGTTTGCAGGCCTATCTGCAGAGAGAATCCCACCTGTTCAGGTGAATTTGTAGGTGAAATGGTAAAATGTGAGTGAAGCTCCTCACCTGTGACAGTGACCCAGCTGGATGGAGACTCTCCATGACCGCTGATGTCACACTTGTAGAGGCCTTCATCAGACCTGGAAACATGCTGGATGGTCATGTGACCTGT